ATGACTCTCGTAGGTTGTGGAAAGGTTTCATGCCATCTGACTTGAGGAGGCAGTGAAGGCAGGCAATACCTGAGCTGATCCAGTGTTGAAATGCCCCAGGGGATCTTGGAGTGTTATGGGGTTCTGTAAAGATATACCATTTATGAGGAAAAAAAATAAAGGACCTTGTGGGCACACATTTTCAGCCCTTTTTTATCATATGTATTGTAAGGCTAAAGGAGAACTATGAGGTGAGTGAAAATCACTCAGCCTCATAGTTCGAGCCGACGTGTGACAATGAAACTGTGAGCGAACACATACACATACCGTGAGCGAACACGTACCGTCGCTTGTTCACTTCTCGATAATCTCCCTGCAGGGATTCCCCCCTCCGATCCTCCAGCGCTGACTGGAGGAACGGACGGGGGAGGGGCGGGTACAGCTGGCTCTGCCTCAAGATAGGCAGAGTCAGCCGTCACTCACGCAGCTGGGTGGATCTGGATCTCGACAGTAATGTTGGGATCCGTCCCGGCTGTGGCGGTATCAGTATACCGCGAGCTGTAGCTCGCAATATACTGAGCTTTGGGTCACGGGAGGACACTAGTTTATGTCCTCCAGTGACCCTTAAGAGAACTATGGGGAAAACCACTTACGCCATAGTTCTCTTTTAAGCTGTCTTTCGGGGGAAACCATGGTAGATTGGTGATGTTTAGGGGCTCACAATTGATTGATTTGAGGGATACCCATAGGGTCATTTCAATGGAAGTGTGAAATTTAGTGAGTATAGCTAGTTGAGCAGTACGGTTATATTTCTGCAAATGCAGAACAACTAATCTGCCATTAATTTTGGTTTGGAATAGGGTTTGCCTAGGGAGTGTTTATCTCTTTTGTTTCTAATTGAATTGTAGGACCTGCCATTGGTGGATATGGAGGACGGGGAGGGGTAGAGATGATGGCAACTGGTGTAACATGGAAGAAGTAAGAGTAGCTTTGGTAAATAGGTAATTTTGACTTCACCTCCACTCCCTCCCAAACCCTCGACTCTGGGTCGCATATGGTATTAAAACTCTTAGACACATTACGCCCAATGGGACACTTTTGGACTTAGGTTCCTATAGTTCCAAGTTCTCTTTACCAAATATTTTTTTAGAGATTTACAATTGTGGCATGCAGCTTGTTCTCAATTTCAGGAACCTTTTCAACTGGCTCCGAATGGTACGGAGAGGTTCTTGATGCAGGAACGCCTGGGGAAGATTCTCTCTTCCATTTACCTATTTGTCTGTTGCCTCTGCCTCCAAAGCATCCTGCCTTTTTGAAAGATGGAAAGATGATCTCCCCTGTTTGACAGAGGACTGGACTATACAGCAATGCAGATTTCTACAGACTTACTTATTTAGGTTGAGGTCACCCCTCCAAATTTGATCAGATTTGGTCCATTTTGCTTGAGGCTCATGACCTTACTATTGAGGACTGATATCCCTTATTATCGCTCTTTGATGGTGCTGTCTTATATTTTTTTAGTTTCTCCCTAATCACTTTCCACTCCTCTTATCCTCTTTCATTGTTTTTCTTTCTTTGTATGTTGTCTACTCTACAATTTTGTTAATTAAAAAATAATAAAAGTATTGTTCAAAAAAAACTAGGTCATTTTGACTGCTGCTCTCTGGGCCCAACCAAGAAAAGTGATAGGTGTTTTAAGCTGCAAGGTGGTTTTTAGGTTTATGGAAGATTTATTGTGGTTGACCTGGAGGCCTGATAGTTTGCCGGACTGTTTAAGGCAGTCAGGTTGGGCAACAAAAGGTTTGGTAAGGAACAAGATAATGTTATACATGTATGTGCAAAATTATATTTTCATAAACATTTTATTCATTTGAGATTCACATACAATATAATTTTTTACATCACACTGATAATTTAATTTCAGAACACTAAAGCAACTTAAAACACCGTATTTTCAACAACGAATCTATGCTTCAATCATCAAACCATGTAAATATACTATAAGGTAATTATTCATTGAGAATGGTAATATGTATGACAGAGAAAGACATGGCTTGGCTGGATTTTGAGCATCATTTTGTCATACAACAATAAAAAGTCTTCCATTACTACTACAGTCTTTGTAAGCCTAGGGCTACACAGAAATTTAAATCTATTTGGTTTAGGAGTGTTTCACACCTTGTTGGCAGTCATTTAATTAGCAGCACATTGATTTTTGTGTAGCCCAAACCTAAAAGCTGATATTGAGTGTCAAGGTGATGTCATAGATAGATCTCCTTTTGAAAATCAAGATTTATAAATAGGTCTTAACTGTGCCATATGTTTCATTAGGTTTTCCTCTGGCATGGACAGAGGGAACTAGTACAATGGATTGCACATTAAGGCCAAAAGTCAATTTGATGTTGTAGTGCACAATGAGATTGTCAGAAATGTTATAAAAGCATGGTTTGTGGCAGTAAATCAGATATTTGTTGTATATATTCCTGAACATTTACAACCACATATCTAATGGCATCTCCATGCAAACGTGTGCTGTTGGGGTTCCTTGACTTTGTTGAATTAATGCAAGGAACCCAGTGTTACAGTCTGCAAACCCCTGCCCCCTCTTCACTGACCCAAGGTACTGCTGAGTATGCAATTTGTATTGTCAACACTCAAACAAAATCACTATGCAGTCCGGACAGAGCACTGTCTTCATAACTGGAAACCTCTTTGCATTACACTGGGACTATGAATCTAATGGAAAGATGAGGAAAGATATGCAGAAGGAGGGTGATTTTTAAAGTCTTACTGTCATGTAAAAGTCAAGGATTACCAAAAAGCATAATACTGGATTTAAGGAGCACCATGAAAAAGAAATGTTACCACTTTTGGCTCATACAATTTTGCTTTAGAAAATACAATTTAAAAATTTCCAAATCTCTACCAACTAACGTTTAAATGAATGCATCCCCAAAAATTGTGATATTTTATCAGCAACATTGACGCTATTTATATAGAGTCATACTTTCCAAAAATACACCTCAAACTGACCTTGGTCCATTATTAAACTGAAATATTACAGCATTAAGCAGACACAAAAATACATACATGTTCCAACTACCAAAAACAAACAAACCCATAAGCATTATTTCACTGCTTGCAAAGAAATACTGTAGTTCCTATTTATGAACAATCTACTTTTGGAAAGATGTTTTAAAAGTGGATTGTGCCTGGTTGTGGAGCAGTTTTGGCAAGTTTTTTCTTTTGTTACTCACATGCACTTGTTTTTGAGAAAGAAGCCATGTTCAGCTTTCTCTTGTTTGCGGATAAGCGGATAGGGATATTGGGGTCACACACTCGCTAACCTAAGAAGCTGCTTCCACTGTGTAAAATCAGAATTGGTGCACCAGTGATGGCTAAACTGTCATTGGCCTGTTAATAGCACAATCTGTCGGAGGAACTCACTAAAACCCACTGCACACTGTGTCTGCATGCTTATGATGCTTGAGCAGGCCGATTTACATTTCTAGGAGACAGGAATAGAGGGAGACTGGTGCAAAATGTTGCTTTGGGGAGTCTAATTAGCATGGCTCTCACATAGCTTCAGCACAGGTATTTGTGAGATTACTCTTCTGCTTTCATTTTAGGGGTACATCACATTTAACCACTTCTTGTCCAGAGCATTTCTTAATTTTTGCACACCAATAAGATTGGAATTTTTGGCTCGAAAACAGCTTAAAAGCCCCAATTATATATTTTCTGAAAGCAGAGGCCCTGTAGAATAAAAAACATGCACAACATTTGTGCAAATGTTTATCAATTTAATATTTTAGGATGAAATACACTGAAATGCATTTTGGTGTACAGAAACAGAATATAATACCCAATTTTTTTGTAAAATATTTAAAAAATGAGGTCAAGTCGGGTACACACATACCTTAAAATTGTGCGCGCCCATGAAATCGCAAAAAAACTACCACCATGCCCAAAATTTCCCATAGACAACACTTTAAAAGCTTTTACCGCTCATCAATTTAGTGTTTACAGTCAGTGATGGCCCTAGTGCTGTCACGCCGACATTCGCTGTGATTTGTACCATGTGGTGCAATCGTCATTTTCACACGTAGGTGAATTTGTGTTTGTATGTGCATGTACGTGGGGGATTTTTTTTTTATGTGTGATTTTAACTTTTTTTTTTTTTAAACTTAACTTAATTACATAGGGAGCTAACAAGGCCCATATGTGATAGCACAGATACAGTGACAGGTCCACCTATGGCCCCTAAAGGAGCTGATGAAACAGACAGTGCTTCATCAGCTTCCTCTCCGACCACAGCAGCTGGAGAAATGGCTGAAATCGGGAGTGATTAAATACTCGTTTCAGTGATCGGAGGGATATCAGCCAATGGAAGTGTGCTGATCTCCCTCCGATCCAGATGCAGAGACCCGCCATGCAGGTCCTGGGACCACACGGGGGACATTAAAGCCCAGGATAGCGACAGCAGGGGGGGTACACACTACCCAGCTGCAAGTAATCGGGCAACTCTATAGCTGCTTCTTTATACAGACAAAAATACAGTTTTCTTTTATTGTAAAATGTGCTCAAGTGGTTAAATGAAAATATTATAGACTGATATGCGTTATTGTATATACGATGTGTTAAAAAAAATAGGACAAATTAATATGGTGATTTAATGAGAGGTTCATAAACTGCCTAACATGGCTGTGATGATTGCTTACACTACAGTAATACACCTCCATTTATAGCGGCTCCTTTTATTTTTGTGTAAAAAAAAAAAGAACCCCAAAACAAACCTTCCTAAATTGAAAAAACATTATCTGTAACTGTACTTTATCTGTAAATCATACTTTTTTTTTTCAAAATGTGTAATTAGTTTGTTATTGGTCAAACAGGTAATCCTTTTCATAGAAATATTTGTGCAAGATTACAGAGATCTGAAGAAACTTTTTTTTATAGAAGCATTTCAATTAGCAAACTATAAAAGTTATCTCTGGCCTTTAGCTGTAAAGGAAACAATTTGTTGTGTATATGGATAAAGTACCTAGAACACGGCAACCTCGCACACTTTCTTCACAATTTGTCAAATTATGGTTTCCAATGTTACAGAGATACACGTTTTATTTCGTGTTGAATTCTTAAAATATCGATGTTGCTGAAGATGAACAGAAATCCCTATTAATGGTGTATTAAAAGCCCTTTTCTATGCTTAGAGTCCTGCGTGTAACATGTTCAATCTTTCCTGCAACATATTCTGTTAGGCTGATTTGGTAGTTCGCTAGCATCTTCAGCATCAAGCGCAATTTCAGCCACCACTGTTCCTTTGGCATTCTGTGTCTAGAAGATAAAAAATAAATAAACTGAGCTTTTACATATACATGTTGGTTCTTTACCCACCACTCCAAGCTCACTCCTGTGATAAAGAGGGTGATTTTTAAAGTCTTACAATCTCAATACAAATTAGTAAACTAAACTTGAGGTTGTAGTCCACCATGGGAGTAATCTTGGAGCGCTGGCTACTTTACAACACACACCCTCCAGAAGGAAGGACAGTGTCAGAACAAATTCAGAGATGATTTGAGGATCTACAGCTGACTGATGCACAAATAGGGTTCAGTATTGTTAATAGTTAAGGTCAGCGGTTTTTAACTCAATTCACTCAGGTGCCATGCAACAATTTTTTTTCAGCCATGGGGGCCGCTTGCCAAATTTCATACTTTAAAATAAAATTTAACGATATCCTGTATGGTACTACAGACAATAATACACAAAATAAGGCCCTATTCAAATCTATAGGTTTTGGCGTGATTAGGGATTCCTGCATGAGGCACTTTTTTCTTTCAGCAGGAATCTGGCATTTACAAGCGGCAGCTGCCACCCATTCAAGTTAATGATTAAGTGACAGCTGCTGCATGTAAACGCCAGCACACCGCATGTAATGGTATGGGATATGATTACATTTGGTTAGGAATCACTCTCTCTGGACACCGATTTCCTAACCGCATGTAATATCACATACAATTACATGTGGTGTGCAGGCGTTTACAACTACTGTCACCTGATCATTAACTTGGAGATATTTTACGTCAGTATATACTTACTCAAAATCGGTAACTTTTTTTAAGTCACATACAGATGTGAAGGCGACAACTTTCTTGTTGAGACCAATTACACAAGCAGTATCCGGGGAATTAGCAAATATACGACCTGGAAAAAAATAAAAGGTAATTCAAAGAGAATGACAATGTGAAAGAAGAGGATGACACCAGTGAGAGTGACTTACACCTCTCAGCCATCAAGGACCTATGTTGCAAACAGGAGTGAAGCTGAGCAGATCAAATAAAGGGGGGATTCGTGCTTCCTTTTAGCAATGCATGAGAGAAGAAAGCGTGCTGGAAAGGAGCAATCAATCACTTACCAACCTGTCAATCAATCACTGAGTGAGCGGTTGGGACGAACTATGGGATAGGAGGGCAGAAGTGAGGCATCTCAGAAGCACAGAATTCTGGGAGTTCTACACCAACGTTTACTACTTCTGTCATACACAAGGACCAAGTTTGTCTGCCCTTGTTCTACACCAATCAAGCTGCCTGTAGAGCCCTATGTATAATTCTGCTCCACAAAAACCCAAGAAAGGTGAGACAATTAAAAAAAATATATATTTCTTTTAGGTATACTGTGTGAATGGGAACATAAACATATATGGGTTGCCTACCTTAAAGTGAATTCTGCATTTAACTGCAAAAGTGGAAATAAACATTAAGGTAGGCGGCAACCCATAGCAAAATCATAGTTTGTGTTCAGAAAAAAAGCATTTATATGGCAAAGTTACTAAGTGTGCTGAGCTAATTACAAAAATGGTTTTACCACAAAGTTGCATTTATTCATAAAGAACCTTGAATGCTTTCGGTTTTCCCACTGAAGCGGTTACCCTTGCAGTCTGTGCGGCCACTGGGGCAGGACTAGACATGATCTTCCCTTATGCGGCACAAACTGATAATAGACCATGCACTGGGCTTCATGGATTATCAACGGAATTCCATAAACATTACAATGGTGATATAGATGAAATGTGGAACTATGGCAATGGATATGTATCCTTATACATAAAAATTAGGAAAAAACATTTGAAAAAAAAAAAATTATATTAAAAAAAAATCCATGGTTGTTTGTTCAGCAAGATAATAAAAAAAAAAAACATGGTTGTTTGTTCTGGCAAGATAATATCCAGAGTGTTCACTTTGATCCATGAGTGACCTTACCTCTGCGATAAGAATCTCTTAGTTTTTCAGAAATCCATAGTACAGCCTTGACTCCAAGTTTTGTTCCATAATTGCGATCAAAAGGGGTAGGCGAACCACCCTATGTAATAAAAGGTGAACATTACATTAGTGGAACTACCTTCTTACCCATATCATATACAAATATTTTTAGTTAACAAAATTATTATAACCCACTGATCAAAGCATGCATGCATGCATGCAATAAAAAAAAGGATACAGGTTTGATTTATTTCCAATCTATTCATCCAACTAAACCTTAAAAGAATAAAAATTTGTTTAAAAAGGGCCATTTGTAATTACCAGGGTAAATTTTACTGGTATTAGGTTTCACGCAGCAAAATTTGCAGTTTATTGCTGCAAAAGGTCAAATATAAAATAAAATAAAATAAACCACACACACACACACACACACACACACACACACACACACACACACAGACACACACAACCGCCTTTCCTACAGTATTTGAGAGGACACAAATACTACTTACTTAGATGCCCATGTAAACACAACGGATTACTTTGTCTGTTTTTATGTTTGTGTGTATCATTTATACTGCAGAATTGCATGTTTTAGTGAAGTAATCGTGACCCTATACAACAAAGCATAAGCAAGGCCTTATCTGGAATATGCAGGGGGGGTACCAACTGCACGGCCTCGCCGGCCAGGAGCATGTCTCAGCCTCCTAACCTCTTCCTTCCCTGGCTGCTTATAGTGAACTATGTGTATTGTATGTGTGCAGTGTTTGTATTAGGCCTCATTCACACTGAGCCTACAAGACCGTGCGGTGTGCATGCCTGTAAACACCCAATCCCGGGAGGGACAGGTGCTGCGTGATTGCACGTAGCAGCCTGTACTCCACCTATGGGAGGACGCGGCTGTACGGTGTCATCTGTGCGGGTCAATCCTGTCTGCGTCCAAGTGCGGACACTCATACCTGCAGATATGTGCAGTTTGGGTGTATGTATGATACCGTACAGCCGCGTCCTCCCATAGGGAAGAACAGACTTCTGCGCGCAATCACTGGCAGCTCCTGTGCCTCCTGGGATTGGCTGTTAATGGGCGTGCATGCCCAGTGAGAATTAGACCTTATGTGTTATATGTGTGCTGTGTATTATGTGTTATATGTGCGGTGTGTGTGTAGTCTGAAGTATAACAACCGGGGTAAGGGGGGGGGTTAAGACAGTCACAAAGATAAGGGGTGGTGCCAGCCTGGCAACTAACACAATTAAGCCTGTGAAGCCCATTACACACTGCCGCGCACAGCAAAGGGAAGTGGCGGTTTGCAGAGCTTTGCTTGCAGTATGTCTAGCAATATCGTGTTAATATGCTTGTAGTGTTTTCCTTGCACACGTTCTTTCTGTGACATAACCCTTTGTTAAGCTAGACAATGTCCAAATTCACTTTAAAACTGATGAGATCTGCCAGCACAGTACAGACAGGGTTAACTATGATAAACAGACCTCCCAGCGTCCTCCGTAACATTACAGAGCAGGAAAAACTTAATTTTTGGAATTTTCAGAAAAGTGCAGCAATTTTTAAATATTTTTTAAAAGTTGTGCTATGTGAATAGGAACACGCAACAAATATAAAAAGTCAATGTTATCCCAAATCGGAGGCAAAATTGTAAACACTTTACAAGGATTAGTGTATGTGATTATTTTCACTGTGACGTGCACTTTTCTATTCAATCCAATTAAACGGTATCCATGCATTAAAAAAAAAATAAAAAAAAATGGTGACCATATATAAAAAGTATACAAATTATGTCGAAACATATGCGTTTTCTAGCATTTTTTGTTTTATGAAACCGAAAACATACTTGCTGTAGGTGTCCAAGCACATTGGTTCGACAGTCAAAAATCCCCTTTCCTTCAGCTGAGTAGAGATTATACAGAAATTCTGTGGTGTAGTAGTCATGGCATTTTTCATTCCTAAAGAAGAAACAAGGCTTTACTTTTTCAATCCACAGTTTCATTTACATGTTAGCTTGAGGATGTGGATAATAAAGCCCTATTTTTAGCATTCAGTCTCCCGTCACACCTAAAACATCAAGATTTCAAAACAAGGCAAGCATTTTTAAGCGCTTTCAAAGCTTTTTTCCCCCCACGTTTTCAGCTTGTGCTGTCCTCCATCTTGTTCACCAGTGTTTTATGCAAGAGGAAAGCGGGTTCTTGCATGTAAACACGCAACAAAATGCTTTTTTTTAAAAAACACTAGAAAATGCCTGTGTTGTGCATTTACAGGCGTTCCCATTGAAGTCTATTGTGCCCAAAGTGCAGAAACCTGCAGAAAAGTAGATCATGAACTTTAGCCAGCAACCGGCATTTTGCTACAAGCGACAGGACGTGAACAGGGGCCTTTGAAAACAAATCCTGTTTGAGCTTCAAAGTGCTTAGCCCGTTCCGCTACAAAAAGCCTAGGTGTGAACAGGGACTTAGCTCTCATTGTAAATGAAATATCTGACCCACCACAGTACAAACTGTTCACTATGGTAAATGGATAATATACAGATTATATTGGAAAACAATAATAGTATATGCAAAAGAGTGGAACTGAACTTGCTAGAAACATAATAAAAATAGTTACCTGCACTACAATGCATCAGCATAAGAACTGCCCAATGTTATAATCTATTAATACTTTGAGCAGAAAAGAAAATGAAAGTATCAACAGATGAAGGTGAAATACTTCCTGTTACAAGTCTCATAAAAATAGACTGAGCAATTTATCTTAGAAAATGTTTATTAGAATAAGTGGAAAACACACAGAGAGGGATTTGAAGGATTGTGCATTCTTATCCCTTTTTTATGTTTTTGTACAACTTATTACATTAACTTATAAGTAATAACACCTGTGATAACGGTAAATGTAATATACTATTATTAAAGACGTTGTTTTCAGAGTTTATTTTCCTCTTCCCTTTTTTGTTTCCAGCACCATGAAGACTGTTATAAAAGTTGAAAACTAAAGCCCTGTACAAGCAAAAGGTCCAACAAACAAGCTGCAAAAAGGTGTCCAGCCAAATCTTACACAAATACTAGTCCTATATACATTATGATCTGCTTTTTCAAATTAAAATTGAAAGTGTAGTTCCACTTTTGCAGCCACCTATTTTATGTTTGATACATGTTCCCATTCACAAAACATAATTAAAAGAAATAAAAAAAAAAAATGTAAGCGGCAATGTTTAATGTGCTTTATACTTGCTTAAAAATCCTACCTAGCCTTCAACCTATGTAATGTTAAGGAGAGGGTTGTGCAAAGTTATGCTTTCTCTAATTAACCCAGTCTGTACCATGCTGGCGGATTCCATTTATCAGCTGTAAACTAGATTCAAAAACTATCTGTCCTAACAAAGGGTTAAAGCCTTCGAGGCGTTGTGTGTAAATGAGATGAATTTCAGTCTGACCCTCAGTCTGACACTCTAGTTTCACTCTCAAACTGCTCATAGTGGCTTGTAATCTGCACAAAGTCCTTCAGAAATGAAACAGCTAAAAGATAAGAAATATATTTTTTTTAAATAATTTTCGGTATGCTGTGTGAATGGGAAGACATAAACATAGTGGGGTTTTCTCAGATTTGACTGAAAACGTGGAAGTGGAAAAAGTGGAAGTACACTTTAAGCTGCGTATCTAGTAAGTAGAAAGCAAACTAAAATGTAACATGATCTAAAACACACACACACAGTATCTCCCCCTGCAGCTGCAAATAATTGAAAACATTTATACAATACATCAAATGTATCATTGTCAGACTGTTAAGATAAACAGACTGTACTATTGTGATGATTGTGAGAAGAAAAAACATATGGCACATTTGCTAGGAATGCAAACAAATTCTCAAGCAACCACTTAACCATCATCCCTACTCTCGGTCTGCCCAATAAATGCTAACACTTGCCAACTTTGCTCACTAAATAAAACGATGTCCCCGAGATAAACATGGAAATTGTTTGCTAGGAATGCAATACCCTTTAATGGATGTACTAACAAAACACTATTTATCAAAACAAATGTGAAAAAAGGTGTTTAGTGTGACGCAACCACTACATTACTCCAATGGTGATGTCTGATACTCTTAGATTCTACTTAAATGTGTAACCTTATATGAGGCAGGCCACAGATGGAATGCATTTTCTAAATGGAATCCACCAAACCATAGACTTCCCCAAACAAACTAAGGGAAGACTATCATACAAAAAAGTAATGGCACAAAAAAAAAAAAAAGAAAAAAGGATATTTGTACTCCCATAAAATCTTTTCCTAGGAGTCCATTGAGGGAACAGACGTTATACTGTTACGCCGATGACTTAGACACTGGCAGTACTGAGAAAATGATCATAAACACAGAGGGGTGGGACTTCTCACAGCCTGGTCCACATCGACAATGGAGGGAAATTTCCTTTTGGTGAACTAGAGATGGACACAGACAGGAGAACAATGTTTTGGTTGAGGTGAAAGGCATTACACTGTACGTCCCGCCACGAAGTGCCTATATGACTGGCCACGTACACCGTAATTTACATCTGTAATTTATTTATTACAGGTATTTATATAGCGCCGACAATTTACGCAGTACTTTACATAGTTGCACATTCACATCAGCCCCTACCCTGCCGGTAACCGCTGATTCTCAGCGGTTACCCGTCATTAATGGATGCCTCTGTATTGAGGCATTCATTAATGAAATAATTAAGCTTTTGTAAAAGCTTCTTTCTTTCATTAAAGGAGAAAAGCACTAAATAGCAATCCCGTATTTGACAGCTGAAAATAGCAGAGGTAACAGAGTCAGTCACCTCTCTGCTATTCGTTTTGACAGCTAGATAGCCAGATGTTTATGATACATTTCAGGCACAGAGATACAATGTATAATTGATATATTGACAACCCCATCCTGTTTAGTACTGGCGGATCCTCCACTGTGCAAACTGTGAGAGGATGGCCAGGAGAATTGTAATACCTAGTTGTACCTTGGTCCACTGCATACACATTTAGGGATGTCCCGATGCCACTTTTTTTAAGACCAAGTACTGGCCCTCATGTACTTGCCGATACCAATTACTGATACTTTCTCTTAAAGGGACAGGTGACATTTTTTCAAAAACAATACAGAGAATAAAAGGTATCACTGCTGGAGGTCTGATGGGGAGTGTAGTTCCCTTGGTAACAAGTGGAACCCCTCAGGACACGGTATCAATAGTGGCTACGATAAGGAAGGGTTAGGTTGGTAGCACTGACCACGATACCGTTGGAGCATAATGGGTAGCTGTCACACCTGATTATCAGTGGAATGGTATGCAAGTTATTGCATACAAGTACAAATGCTTTTAGTACTTTTAGAATCTCAAAATAAATAATATAATTAAAATATGTATGAGGGTACTGTCATTTTTTGCTGTGGAACTAAAAATATACTGATGGGGTCAGATCAATTGAACAGTCAAAGCACATTCATAGGGTCAAACACTTAGGTAAATTTATTAAAGAAGTAAAACCTGTTTTTTTTAATAAACCTTTCACGCGATTGGGTATTGAAAGTGAACACAATTCCACTTTATTCACTAAACTAAGTGAACATTTTCTTGTATATTAATTTTAATAAATGCAGAGTGTCCACTCCTTTAGTTAAGCAAACCCATGGCCTTGCTCATCCATTAGCTCACAACATCCGATGAAGGCATGATTATTTATGAATGTGAATGCACCCATAGCAAGCAACCCTATCGCAAAACAGACCATGGCACATTTATAAACCAGCAATGCAAATGCTTAAAACACAACAGAGGCAAACAATAGAAATGCCCCAAATTCACATACCTATGTGTTGTGGAGTGTATACATGGAGACATAAGTCAATCAGACTGGCGTGTGATAAATAAAAAGACTCGATGTTACGTGCCGGCGCTGGAGTAGGAGGCGGCGATCGGTCCCGCAGGAGCGAGGAGAGGCGAGTCTATGACACGCTGCTGTGGGCTTGAAAAATTTGACGGTGTCTTACCAGTCAGTCAAAAATTTCACCAGTCAGCATGACCGCACTATATGTATTACATACATGTAGCATGACTGTTGAGGTCAGGACTCTGTTCCTCTACCCCAAACTCGCTCACCAATGTCTTTATGGACCTTGCTTTGTGCACTGGTGCGCAGTCAGGTTGGAACAGGAGGGGCCATCCCCAAACTGTTCCCAAAAAGTTGGGAGCATGAAATTGTCCGAAATGTCTTGGTATGTTGATGCCTTTAGAGTTCCCTTCACTGGAACTAAGGGGCCAAGCCCAACCATTGAAAAACAACCCCACACCATAATCCCCCCCCTCCACCAAACTTTACACTTGGCACAATGTAAACAGGCAAGTACCGTTCTCCTGGCAACCCCCAAACCCAGACACGTCCATCGGATTGACAGACAGAGAAGTGCGATTCCTCACTCCAGAGAACACGTCTCCACTTCTCTAGGGTCCAGTGGCGGCGTGCTTTACACCACTGCATCCCACGCTTTGCACTGCACTTGCTGATGTAAGGCTTGGATGCAGCTGCTGGACCATGGAAACCCATTCAATGAAGCTCTCTACGCACTGTTGTTGTGCCAATCTGAAGGCCACATGAAGTTTAGAGGTCTGTAGCTATTGACTCTGCAGACAGTTGGCGACTTCCGCGCACTGTGCGCTTCAGCGTGCACTGACCCCGCTCTGTCATTTTACATGGCCTAACACTTCATGGCTGAGTTGCTGTTGTTCCCAGTTGCTTCCACTTTGTTATAATCCCACTAACAGGTGACCGTGGAATATTTAGTAGCAAGGAAATGTCACGGAAGGACTTATTGCACAGGTGGCAACCTATCATGGTACCACGCTCGAATTCACTGAGTTCCTGAGAGCAACCCATTCTTTCACAAATGTTTGTAGAAGCAGTCTGCATGTCTAAAGGTGCCCATACACCTTACGACCATCGCAAGACTTTTGTCTTGCGATGGTCGTATGCTTATTGAAAGCTCGTACGATCTGCCCACCTTGGACGGGCAGATCAGTGTGTGTGTTTTATTATTTTTATGTTTTGTTATTATTATACACGTGCACACACACACACACCAAAAATACAACTGAACTGTTCAAGCAGATATGTGAACTTATTAGACATCACAGTGTCCATCAGGGATTACAAAATGCACACAATATATAGAAACCCACTGACTAATGCAACCATCTCCACAGCTCTAGCTTTCACACCAAAACAAGCCATCATACACAGCCAGACCCTAACCCAGAAGACAGAACAAAACATCTTCAAGTACTAGCAGACTTCTTCCATAAGAAAAGTTACAGCAACAAAACCATCAGTACAGGCATAAACGCTGGACTTGAAAATCAAAGAGCTGCAAAACATCATAACAGAGGATGACATGCAGAATAATTTTCCAACATGCTGCAATACTGGCCTTCAGGCAACCACCCAACCTCAGACATAAATTAATCAGCAGTAAAACATTATTCTCAATACAGGAGCACAACCACGGAACAAAAACTTGCAACAATAAATGCTGCATACTGTGCAGCCACATAAATCAATTAAAAGTGACACACACAGAAAAGGAATGGTAAGGGCAGGGTCACACTGCTGTGTTGCGCTAGAGGCATAACATCCATACATACAGTGCACGCTATCACAATGCACAGCACAGTAGGTGCACTTGTCAATAGCCGTTCATTCTGAATAGCACCCAAACGCACATCCTGGAGTGAATGCATCATTTTTTATGACCACATTGCATGCTACTGCAGTACAACGCCTTCAGCTGAACAGCACCACAATGGAGTGTGTTCCAATGCAGTGAAAAGAATGATGCTCTCTGGAAGTTGCATTGGGGTGCCATTCAGAATGAGTGGCAAGACACCAGGGCATCAAGCACGTTGCTTAACCAGTTGACATCCGCGGTGTTAAACCCCCTTCCCATCCAGGCCATTTTTCAGTATTAGAGGCAGCACAGCAGTGTGAACCTACCCTTAATATTGGATCATACAGCTGCACCTCCAGTGATGTGTACCTTATTCAATGCAACAAGTGCAACCAGGGATGTAACGCTGGTGAGATAGGTCGGAAGTTACAAAGAAGAAGGAATCTACAAACCATAAAAATGATTATAATTATAATGATTATTGCACACATGTGGGATATCATTTCTCACAACCAAACCACTGTTTGGAAAACATGAATGTTTTGACTCTTACAGGAAATTTGAACCTTCCATACCTTTTTGTATTAGTACTGCTAGGATTTTAGAAGAAAGGGGCAAACCCATGAAAGTTTGAAAATATAACTGTTAATGTCGCAACTCCTAGTGTAACTGTATTAGGTGGGCAGGTCCATGCGAGCATCACGATCTTACAGATAGGAACGTGTCTTTTGTGCAATTGCTTCTTTTTTATTGTAAGTGCATTTTAACCTTTTTTTTTTATCAAATCCTTTTTGATATACTGCACAATGGGGAGCATATTTCTTTTTCTCTGAGCATGTACTAATAAGAAGGTGGAAGACGAAGTTGATATAAAATGACGGAGTGGAAAGATTCCTAATAAATGTTGAGAAGTGGAAGTAGGAATAAGAACCCCTTTGATTAATCATTGCATCTGAAAACAAAGGAGAGGAAGTCGTCCTAATTATACACCAAAGCACTAATTATTCTTCTGTAACATGGTGAACAATAGGAGCCGGTGAGTGCGGCTAGATAGAATTTCCAAGCACGGTGGAGAGCATGGCTCACACATTATTCTGTATGTCACAAAGAGGTGGTGTGGTTATAAGAGTTGGATAAGACTTTTCTTCACATTAAGATTGCATTTTAATACAAGAAAGAGACTATACATGCGGATTTGTTTTGTCAAAGTTAAATGATTAAACATTATATCCGTTACATCAGGGGTAGCCAAACTCTGGTCCTCCAGCTGTGGTGGAACTAGAAATCCCATGAGGCATTGCAACATTCTCACAGCCACGACTCCCGGAGAGAGATGCATCATGGGATTTGTAGTTTCACCACAGCAGGAGGACCAGAGTTTGTCTACCCCTGCGTTACATGGTTTGGTTCAGAGGATTTGTTACATTGCACTATATGGTTAAGATAGTTTATTTGTTTAGGTCCTTTACATATGGTTTACGGTTTACAAAGTTTTGGAACTTCAAGAGAAAGCTGGGATTTTTCACTGCACATACGTTTTAATTCACAACGCATGGTTATCTGATCGGTTTAGACCCCGTTCACATTGAGCGATTTATCGCGCGGTAATTCCCGCGATATCGCGGCAATTTACCGCGCGATATCGCTCTCCAATGCTTCTCAATGGGGCAAAGGGTCCTGCTGTCGCGGGTCGTGTGTCGCTACAGCAGGACCCTTTTTGGAGCGGATTTAGCCGCGATTCAAGCTTGCTCAATGCAAGCATTTGCGCGATATCGCGCAAAATGCAAAACGCGCGACAATCGTGCAATTTGCGAACCGCTCAATGTGAACGGGGCCTTAACGTTTGAGAGATTTTTTTGTCATATTTTCACTGTTTTTAGTGTACTTTTTTTTGTTTAAGCGCACTGCTGCTTTTCACGTCATTATATTTGTGTGTAGTCACCTATTTAGCACAGCCGATTCAGAGTGAGTTCTGATTCCTAAGTGCAGTTTTGAAAACTTTTTACCAGTGCAACTGTATTGTCATAGAGGTTGGCACTATGGAGAGTGGGGCACACCTTCATTCAAAAGGAATCTTGATGTAGAGGGCACGAGAGTGGAAAAAGTAAACTGACTTTTCCTGACAAATAAAAAAAAAGATGACTTTGCAGACTGTTCCTTAAGTAGGGTATACGCGGGCAGATTTTTGCAATAACGATTGTACATAAAATACCATTGCAACCTTCGATACTGGCATCAGAAACTTTCCGATTGTTGTTCAAAATTTGCTTTCATTTTCATTTAATACTTTGGAATAAATGGAGTTTCCAAATGAAAACAATATTCACTGTAAGAAAATCGATCAAGTCGAGAACATTTTTCCAACATGCTCCTTAGAGGCAGGGAATATGCATGTTCATCAGTCCTCAGTCTCCACTATGATATAAAGGGAAAATGTATTCTTTAGAAGAGCCTTTCTCAGCCAGGGTGCTTTGAAATTTTCACACAGCACCATGCAAATCCATGGTGCAGGTGGGCCAATCACCAGCACCATGGAATTGAAAGATGCTAATCCAGAGTTGGTGGGCTCCATTCAGAATAGTATGCAAGTTCACCTTCTTCTAGGCTTGATCCACCTTTTGCCTTGCTGCCACAGCCCATGCTCTGATGTGATGGCAGGACGCCGAAGTAAAGGGGGCTCCTGTTGATGATTGGGAAACCACATATTTTTCTTTTTGTGTTTTTGCATGGGGTTCCCCCATTGAAATCCATACCATATCTAGGAAAATAGTCTGGTATGAATTTTGGGGACCTTACATTTTTTCTTTTTTTTACATTTTAGACTGGGTTCTATGAGACTTTGCATACCATTAAAACCAGAGGTGGGGAGCCTCTGGCCCTCCAGCTGTGCTGGCACTACAAATCCCATGAGGCATTGCAAGATTAAAAAAAAAAAAATGTCAGCACAAGGGGCGCAGGAGGTTCTTCTCAGTAAGATCGGTTAGGGTCTGGAACTAGCTGCCACATGCAGTGATTTCAGCTATGAATGTGGAATCATTCAAGAAGCTCTTGGACGATTTCCTTAGAGACCATAACATACAGGTACTCCTAGGAACAAGACCACACATTGACTCATACGCACACACCAGCAGAACCATAAATGCATACACGCAATAGGTTGGACTTGATGGACTTATGTCTTTATTCAACCTCAAATACTATGTAAGATTCTCACAGCCACAGGCATGACTCATGACTCCCAGAGACAGATGCATCATGGGATTTGTAGTTTCACCACAGTTGGAGGGTTTGAGGTTCCCCCACTTCTGCATTAAAGGGTACTGTGACTGAAGAAAGTAGGTGATGTGGCTATTCTGGAAGGTTGAATGTTCTGCGCTATGAAACAGACCCAAATATTGTTTGATGTGGCTATTCTACTGAATGAAATCAATGTAAAACATACAATATATAGAAAAACAAAGGCATTCCAAGATAGTAAAAATATCATACCTCAGCACAAGCCCTCTTTGAATATCAGTCTTCATTTTGTCAGTCAAGTGGTCCACATTTGACTAAAAACGATGAAGATCTCATATTACCAACAAATAAACTTAGTATGCAAAACAGAAATAGAGTTAATCAGTCAAGCACTGCAATATATAAATATATAAACTTTAAGACCAGCATTGGAGCTTCCTATATTCAATCAAACAATTGGAGCAGCTGCCCAGAAGACAAAAAGGTCTACAAAAAAAAAGATGACAGGTATTTGTAAAAAAAAGTTTATGGTCTCACCTTAAGATCATGGATGTTAAACTTATCCTCATACACATAAGCAGCATCAGCACCAACAGCTATTCCTGTAACTGTAGCAAGGTAGCCACAATATCCACCCATAGTTTCTACAATGAACACACGCCTCTTTGTTCCAGAAGCAGATTGTTTAATGCGGTCACAGCTCTATTAAAAAAAGTAAAAAACAAAAAAAAGTATATATTTTGCTAAATTTTTATTCTTTTTTTTTTTTTAACAAATTAGTGTACACTAACAAGGCCACTAGGGAAATATTTGTGGTGGACACGTTTTTTTTTAATATACTTTAAAAATTATTAAATTAAAATTATACATTTATTTAGGTATTCAAATAATTCAGAGTTGTTACTACATTAAAGGAGAACTATGGGGTTAAGGCTTTTCCCCATAGTTCTCCTTAGGGGAACGGGAGGACACAAACTAGCATCCTCCCGTCACCCTAGGCTCAGTATACCGCGAGCTGTAGCTCGCGGTATACTGAGACGCCGCAGCTGAAGCGGATCCCGACAATTATGTCTGGATCCGCCCAGCTGCGTGACTGACAGAGCCAGCTCTACCCGCCTCCTCCCGACTGGCGGATAGGAGCGGGGGGAATCCAGCCCCTCCTCTGTCATGGCAGGAGAGCCGTGACAGGATCGAGAGGTGAGTGAACGCCGGTATGTGTTCGCTCACCTCCCGATCTACTGAGCCAACCTGTGACAGTCTCATTGTCACAGGTCGGCTAGAACTATGAGGTGAGTGAAAAGCACTCACCTCATAGTTCTCCTTTAATTGACCCATGCTTAAATTTGGGCTGACATGGCATGTCTAGGCATCAATGACACGTGGTTGGGAAAGGTTTAACACCAGGCACCACATATTAGCCACAAAACCCGCTAGTGTGCACCCAATTAATCTAGATTTCATGGTAAAGTAGGGTATACACTGAATGAATTTCAAACAAAATAAAAATCGATTTTGTTACATTTGTTCGACTTTCTAATAGTCATTAATTCAATTAATGATCAATTTCGATCACAGTGACGAAAAAATTCAAAGGAATATGTTGGAAACATTTTCTCAAGCAAACAAAATTCTAACCGTGAATGTGGTTTTCTATTCATTCCAAAATCGAATGTTAAATCAAAACTAAAATCAAATGACATTTTCTAACATTTTCATTTTCTCAAGCCTCTGATGGCATTATTCAACATTCTGATGAGATTTTTCATATCAGTGTATACCCTACGTAAGGGCTAAACGGCCAAACCTTTGGGCTTCTTATGAAACATTATAAAAAAGGTAAAGAGATGTACAAAATATATTACCTCCATGGCTGCATTGACAGCTGTATCTGAGCCAATACTAAAGTCAGTGCCAGGAACATTGTTGCTGATAGTTGCAGGAATGACACACATAATTATACAAAGTTCCTCATATTGTTCCCGTGCCTCAACAAGCTGTAACACTCCTTCATATGCCTACCAAATGGGGGGAAAAAATAGTATCACTTAAACTGAATTTTTATTTTTCCCTTGTCCTGTTTGAGAGATAATTTTTCTTTTTATTTCTGCATCTAATGCGATGAACAGCAACATGCAAGATTAAAAAAGAATACAAGTGAAGAGAAGCAGGTCATCACAAGGTCGTAATTTTCCACATCAGTAAATGGATACAAAAGCTTCCACAATTTTTGCTCTATTTTATTATCCTAAACTCCACAACACAAGATTTAATATGCACTCACAATCTATTCAGTTCTTATTACATGGAGGAAATATTAGCATCAACTGATTAATTGGCTTTAACCTTTCAATAAAATTGGTAGCTCATTTAGAAATGTCAAATAAAGTGTTACATTCATATCAATCCCTGCCCTCGAGGAGCTTAAGGTCCCTATCACATGCAAACAAAGAGGGCCAATTTAGACAGCAGCCTGTAACCTCCCAGCATGTCTTTGGAGTGTGGAAACAAAATCGGAGTACCCGGAGGAAACCCATGCAAGTGTAGGGAGAACATGCAAACTCCCTACAGATAGTGTCCTGACCAGGATTTGAATCGGGGACCCCCAGTGATGCAAGGCAGAAGTGCTAACCTTAAAAAAAGATCTAACTGCACCTATACTAATGGGAGTCTCTGGAATATCCTTTTTAAGGGAGACCATGGAAGTTTACTTGACTAGCGGTCCGAGGCTTTAGCCCACCTTCCCTGTCACTAACAACCTGCAGTTTTCTACTGCTGTAATCACATTTATGGTGATGGGACATATTTTGAGGCCTTGAAGATTTGATTTTTCCTGCTGCTAAGAAGATAAAAAGTACTGTATTTGCCCACCTCCCTGCTGAGGACAATTGCAACCTTGCATTGAGTTCATCACACTAGTGTGGTAGGTTTGTTGAACCTATGGAGATGAAGGGCTGAATGAATCCACCTAGCTCCCTGTCGCTGACACCTGTTGCTTTCTACGTTCTAATCTTTCTAGAGTTCATGATAAGGAGGATAGATTTCATTCTACTCAAGCTGTCTAGATGGCAAAATGCATCTACTTCCTTACCACTGATACCTTTATACAACATATATAACTATATAATGAATATAGAATATGAAAAAATAATAAATATAAATTAAATTATTATGTGATGGGTAGAGACTGGGAGGATTTCAAATCATGCAGCTTTAACTGGAAGTGTACGGATATTTTTGTAGCCCTGCTTGGAGTCCACATTAATTGGTTGTTTTAAGTATTGCACTTTTGTGTGTGTGTTGAAATATAATACAGATTTTGTAAGCATTAAAGGAGAACTATGGGGTTAAGGCTTTTCCACACAGTTCTCCTTAGGGTAAGGAGAACTATCTAGGAGGCAGAGCCAGCTGTACCCGCCCCCTCCCCCATCCGTTCCGCCAGTCAGCGCTGGCGGATGGGAGCAGGGAGGGGGGAGTCCAGCCCCTCCCCTGTCACAGCAGAGAGCTGTGACAGGATCGAGAGGTGAGCGAACGCCGGTATGTGTTCGCTCACTTCCCCATCTACTGAGCCGACCTGTGACAGTCTCATTGTCACAGGTCGGCTAGAACTATGAGGTGAGTGAAAAGCACTCACCTCATAGTTCTCCTTTAAATCAGATGTGGCTGGATTAAGAAAGGAATTCTTAATCCATTCTGAGCCACACAAAAAAATGGTTTTAGAAATATATGGCACTTTACATGACCTTTTTAAAAAAAGAAGAGCTAAAATTAAAGAAGACATTTTATGAATATGGGGGCAATCAGTTACAAATGTTTATCCTAAATTCCATAAATGCTGATCAAAGACAAGACCTGCACATTTTTGGAAACCCAACTCTCAGGTGCTGTAGGAAATTCTAAAATACAGAAAATGTAATTAGGAATAAACCAACAAATTGCAAAAAAGTAATCCAAGATGTGGTTATAATGGCCAAAATATTATGTTTAAATATTAGATTACCTTTCCGGAAATGTTCCAACAAAAAGGTTGACAAAAAGGTAGCTGGCCAAGTCCTTTTAGGCAAGCCATGAAACCCCATGGTATTTTGAAATGCAGAACTTACCTCAAACCCTCCAATAACCAAAAGAGCCTGGATGTTATATTTTCTAATGTTTTCTACAATCTTGGGTAAACAGGTCTTTGGAATTGTTCTTTTAAGTAAAACAAAGAGCAAATGTTATTCAAATTTTTTTTTCTCCAAAGGGTAAAATATATAGTACATGAGACAAAATAATGGTAATATTTTATTGTAGGAAAATCACATGTAGGGTTTATAATGGTGTTGTTACTCCTCAAAACACCCTAAATTTTTATTAAGGGGAAACATGGAGACCATATTTTATCATCAGAAACTGTATTTCTGTGGATCTCCTCATATGTACTATTATCAATCATGTTGGATGGAGCACTATTAATCATGTTTTCCATCTATAGACAAAGATTTTCATTTGTACTATTACCAAGATAAAGTAACTTTACGTCATACTTCTAATGTGGGTATAAAAGTATATTTTTAGCACATAAACTCACCTTTTTGTTCCTAGCATTGAACCACCACGTCCTAACCATCCAGCAACATCATGCCAGTCAACTTCTGTAACCTTAAATTTAAAAAAAAACAAAAAAAAAAACCCCAGTAATTATAATAATGTAAACAAGATTCACATTTTCCTCATACGGGTCTATTTACTAAGCTGCTGAGGGCAGCCGAGTGAACAAGCGACACCCAAGTGAAGTGAGCCGAACACTGTTCGGCTATTCATTTCAGCCGTACATCGGCTTGCTTCACATGGCTTTGGGTTGGCCGAACATGCTCAGCATGTTCGGCCGACCCGAAGTGCAGAAGGAGTTCGATTCAGCCGATCCAACATCTGCATCAGCTGAGCCGAACCTCCGGCAGGCTACTCACTGCTGTTGGGCCTATTCTTATAGATGCCGAACAGCAGTGAGTGAATAGCCAAATGCCGCTGAGCGGCATTCGGCTTGGCTGTTCTGCTCGGTCCCTCAGAGGCACCGAGCAGAACAGAAAAATAGTTAAAAAAGTAAAAAAAAAGTAAATGGAAAACGATTGTGCGGAGCTAGCAGTGACAGCTAGCTCCGCCCAATAGTTTCCTATTGTCCGGCGGCTCTGCTACAGCACGGCTCAGCCGAGCAGATGCAAATTTGTTCGGCTCGACTGAGCCGCTCGGCCACGTTCGGGAGCTGTACGGGCTATAGTGAATAGCTCGTACAGCACCCCTTCGGTTCTACTGAATCGAAAGGGTCCTGGGGCCGAAGCATCGGCCGAAGCTATGGCTAAATCCTTCGGCAGCTTCGTGAATAGACCCCATAGTGTGGTGACTTTCAATAAAGAAAATATCATAATACAAAGATTAAATGTTGTCAGACAAAGGGGTTGATGCACTAAAGGAATGGAGGCATTATGGCCACTAGATGGAGCTGAGAAGTATAGGAAATACTTGTTTTCTATGCTACTCAGCTCCATCTAGTGGCCATAATGCAGAAATCATGTTGTTACTTTCTACCTGAAAAGATAAAATACTAAGAAAGTTTCTGCTTCTATTTGCACAGAATTAACATTAACAGAGATTCGCAGGGCGACTGGTTTTGCAAATTGTTTACAAATAGACCACTGAGGCCCCGTTCACATATAGCGAATTGTCGCGCGATTTCCGCCGCGATATCGCGCATTTTTGCCGCGCGATATCGCGAGAAGTCGCCGGCCAATGTTATTCAATGGAGCTGTCTTAACTCCATGTCGCTCGTCGCGGTCGCAAGTCGCTTCTACCGGACCCTTTTTTCGGCGGATTTTGCTTTTTTTCTATGGAGCCCGACGGGGAAGGTCGCGCTACCGTCGCTGGAACGTCGCCCCGAAAGTCGCGCTATCCCGGCCGTGCGGATCCGCTGCAAAAGGTATGTCGCTAGGTGTGAATGGGGTCTGAGGCTCATTTATATGAAACAAAACTACTGGTACGCGAATTACTGGCCAAATATAAAAACAATGAAGGAATCACCTGTCCAGTCGAAAGCCCTTCAAACCCATCAGACACCATGAAGACTTTGTGACCTTGAGAAATTCCAATTCTTACAGCGGACCGAACAGCTGCATTCATGCCTGCGGCTGGTGCGCCAACATTCAGAATTGCCATACAAAAGTTACTCTATGAAGGAAGAATAAAAACAGCAGAAATGAATCTTACATTAAAAACACTCGGCTTCTATTACACCACATGAATATGGGTTCTAAAACCTTGTTCTTTGTTTACCATGATGAAAAATATTCTTATAGATTATCACAACTATTCTCTGCAATTTAAAGTGCAATACAGTGTAGCAGGACTGTAGGATTATTCCCACAGAACAATAATAAAGACTCAAACCATAATGGTATGGCTTTGCACCATTGCCTAGGGGGTAAAAGAGAAAATAATGGGGGAAATGGCCCCTAGCTGTTGCAGTCGCCTTAATATACTCAAGTATTGAAGGTTTACATTTGCATGAGCTCTAAGTATTGAACGAAGACAGTCAGCATGACCACCAAGTAGCATTTTCAGAAAAGCCCGACAATGGCAGCATATCCATGATAATGAAGACAGGCTTCTTTTGACATTGTTCTACCTGTCCCAGTACTAAACATTTCTCTTTAAATCACAAAAAAACAAATACACTATATATATATACACATATCTGTGATTGCAGGTTTGGCAACACCTACACTAGACAGCTTACAAATGTGGTTACCTTCTCTTCTGATGATTTTCGGTGTGCAAGAAGCTTGTAAATGTTCCAGTTACTTTCAAAGCTCCTGCAAGATAAAATAATGAAGTATACTTAATTTCATTGTTTAAACTAAATATTGTCTTTCCAGGTCAAAGTAACCATAGAAACTTTAGAGTGATAATTTTAAAGAGATATTAAACAAATTACCAAACGGGAAACTGTTTGCTAGGGGTTAAACTGATCTCCCACCAACACTGAACCAATGTTAAGGGAGAGACAAAGTTTTACTCTGTTTTTGTGTTAACATATGCAGAAAGTCTCAGTTTTGTCTTGTTTCTTTCCCAAAATGTTAACCACCAACAAAAATAATTTAAAATATACATATACAACAAATATTGTATTCTGATGACTGTGGGTTAAACTTTTACATGTGATCCACATTTACATACACTTCAATTCAATTGCTTCCCAGTAATCTTACCCTACGTCCACAGTAGTTGCTTCAAATACATCATGATTTAATATACATGGGCTATTAAAGCAGAACACTATCACCATTGAGACTAATGCCTGCATTTAACAAAATATTTAAATATATACCTATATATCTATCTCCATACATTAAAGATGCCCCGATACTAGTATTTGTACTCATGAAAATGCCCCAATTCTTAAGGCCGATACTGGCCCTTTAAATTTTTAAACCCGTTCGGCTGCCTGAGGTCCTGCGCTTGCTGGGGACTTCAAGCAGCTATCTTTGACAGTGCCGGTCCGGCCATACATTGCCTGTACAGCGCCGTAGCCTGGCATGAGCCTGGATCCCAAACAGTCAGCCTGGCACCCACCTGCAGAGCCCTGGCGAGACCCAACACGCAGCCCTGTATAGCTGCTGTTTAATCATGGATTGATGTGATCTGTAGTCCTCTATTGCTGGTTGCTATTCTCAATTGCTGTATAATCAATGATTATACAGCAATAGAGTGTCAAGCGGCTATAGAGGACTACAAATCTGAGCAATCCTTGATTACTGAATAATCCACTCTCCATTGCTGAATAATCATCGAGATTTGTAGTCCTCTATAGCCGGTTGCCATTCTCCAATGCTGAATAGTCATGGACTTACCGATCTTCATAATTATAAAGAAACTGCCCTAAAACCATTAAACTGTATTATTTTAGAAAAAATGTCACATGTCCCTTTACGAAAAAGTATCAGTAATTGGTATCGGTGAGTACCTGAGGGAAAGTACTTGTACTTGGCCTTGAAAAAATGGTTTCAGTGCATCCCTAACTATCTATATCTATAGATATATATAGATAGATATAGATATATATAATGTCCAATGGTGAGCACCAGATAACAGTAATCCCTTACTCACACCGCTGTGATGCAATTGGAAGCAGAGGTGCTGCAGGGTGCGTTCTGGTGCACTGCAGTAGGGTAGCGCATTAATTTGGAATAAGTGCATGTACCCTTTTTTTTTTATTTATTGCATCACACCACCTCTCATGGTAATAGGTTACCATGCAATGTGGTGCGATACAACACACATGTGATGGCTAGGTGCATTGAGGTGCCATTAAGGAATAATGGCAGCGCAGTGTACCCAACAATGCAGCGCATGATGCAGGATCTCATGCAGCATTACATGTGCTCCCACACTACATTGATGTGAATAAAGCCTAAAAAACTGACCAGGTGTACTCAAGGCAAGTAGATACAAATAGTCCAGAGAAAGACTCACTCACAGTTCTTGTATTGAGGCAACAAATACATTTATTAGTAGATGTTTCGACAAGCCACTGCTTCAGAAAAACAAGCAGTGTCTTGTCGAAATGTCAACCAATAAATGTATACACACACACATATATTATATACTGTACACACACTGTACATATACACATACATACACACAAACATACATATACAAACACAATGCTTTCCATGAGAACTAAAAATAAATATCTTAAACATAATAAATACAAAAGCACTAGGGATGTCCCGATACCGATGCATCGGAATCGGGCCCGATACAAGGCATTTTGACTTTCACTTGTACTTGGGCCTGAAAAGGTGGCATCGGGACATCCCTAAAACGCACCATACATACATTTTAGGTTAAATAAAACCAAATAAATATTTTCAAAAAAATGAGCAGTGAGTTAAGACAGCGCAAGTCAGACACCTCATTCCCACCATAACCTTATACAGCCCTGATGCTTAACCTTTTAGGAATTATATATTTTGCCATTAAACTGTATTATGATGTTAGTTATACTGACTCAATATATTTATTGCAAAAATAAATTTATTACAAATAAATTTATTACAAAACTTTATGGCTTACCTTCCCCTTAACTGAATTGCTTCATCAAATTTCTTCTCCTCCATAGCTTTTTGTACATCCTTTGTCTTAAATGAAGAAAAATTAATTTTAAAAAAAGCACATCGCACTGTAAAAGTCACCTTTTCAAGTAAATTCTTTGTGTATTTATACTATATTTTTTTTTAGGTGTGCAATAACAAGCAAAGTAGTGTTTATTGGTGAAGGCTTATGATACAATGACGTTCCAGATTTTCATTTCCATTTTTTTATTTAAAAAATATGGACCACAAATCATAGCAGTAAGTGAAACACTATTATCATTTACGGGTGACAAAAACGGAGGGCCTGTTTATACTTGGTGCATGCACTACTTTTTATTTGCAGTACCACTCACTGCATTGCGTTCGATCGCATTGTGGGTGGGAGGTGCATTTGGGGTGCTATTCAAAAGAATGGCAACGAAATGCACCTCCAACACTGTCAAAGCATGGTGGGTGTTTGGTACTATTATTATTATTACATAGTATTTATATAGCGCCAACAGTTTGTGCAGCGCTTTACAATATAAGGAAGACATTACAGTTACAATACAATTCAAGACAAGATGGTAAGGAGGGCAATGCCCCTGACATTCTGTATATGTGATTACAGTTTGGACTTTGTGATAATCCTTGGGCTGAACTCAGCTGGCAATACTACTTTGTCTCGTAACCCTTTCCCGACCGATGACGGGATTATCCCATCACAATTGTTCAGTTCATTAACCGGTGACGAGATGATCCCGTCATGCGGTAACCCGAGTGCTGCTCCGTTAAGGCACCGGTGCTCATTAAGTTACTGCTGTTGCTGGGTCACTCGGTAGCAGGGCAGACCCTCAACAGCAGATTAGGTGGCCACAGTCCTGTGATCACAGCGACAGCTGATCACTGTGATCGTAGAGCCGTGATAGCCGCATAGCCAGCAGCAGCTCCCTGTGTTGTGCAGCTATACTGTATTCTCTTTAGAGATACTGTATTCTCTTTAGAGATACTAAGTATCAAAGTCCCTGTACATAAAATAAAAAATAACCCTTAATGTCCCCTAGATAAAAAAATTAAATAAAAAGAAAACAAATTTTTTGATTTAACCTCTTGCCATCCGCCCGTTAAGAAAAAACGGA